TGCCTCATTCGAACCGTTCAGTGTTCAACTCACTCACAAGATAACACCTCACAACTTCTACAGGTGTGGCTCAGCGTTACTGAGCTCTGCTAAAGCCTGAGTAGACTAATAAATCAATGTGATGATCAGTTATTAATCTCAGTGTTACTGAGCTCTGCTAAAGCCTGAGTAGACTGATAAATCAATGTGATCGGTTATTAATCTCAGTGTTACTGAGCTCTGCTAAAGCCTGAGTAGACTGATAAATCAATGTGATCAGTTATTAATCTCAGTGTTACTGAGCTCTGCTAAAGCCTGAGTGGACTGATAAATCAATGTGATGATCGGTTATTAATCTCAGTGTTACTGAGCTCTGCTAAAGCCTGAGTAGACTGATAAATCAATGTGATCGGTTATTAATCTCAGTGTTACTGAGCTCTGCTAAAGCCTGAGTAGACTGATAAATCAATGTGATCGGTTATTAATCTCAGTGTTACTGAGCTCTGCTAAAGCCTGAGTAGACTGATAAATCAATGTGATCGGTTATTAATCTCAGTGTTACTGAGCTCTGCTAAAGCCTGAGTAGACTGATAAATCAATGTGATCGGTTATTAATCTCAGTGTTACTGAGCTCTGTTGATTCTACAGGGAAGAACTTTAAATATGCCATCTTTCTGCTAAAGTTAGTGCACAATTTCTATTTATTTGCTGAGAAACAATTAAATAACTTTTGTATAGACCATATTTTATGTGTGTTTTTTTTGCAACACACTAAATTCAGGAAAGAAAACAGTAGTTGTGTATTAAAATGTGCAGACGTGAGCTCTGCAGAGGATGTGTTGGCTTATTTTCACTAATAATATGTTACTTTTCTATGGATTGTCATAGAGAATGTTACCTTTAGGGCTGCATATTCTGCGTTCAGTTATCAGTACTTTTTCAAAGTCTCTGCTTGCAGCTGAGCTTCTCAAGCTTCGCTCCAATACACTTCTGTGAAGTATTATCACAGAAGTGTTATTTACAGGAGCTGTAGTGTCGATATCTGCTGGTGACCGGATTATAAACTGGCCTGAGAACTGTCATAATTGGAATACACGACTGTAAGAAAGAAGCGTGGACTTCAGAACACATGGTTTGAGGTGGACGCTCGTGGTTTAAATGGCTATTAGTCACAAAAAGGGTTCAAATGCCGTTTGCAGCCTCTTTATTTACTGCCTATAGCATGAGGAACATGAAAAGCACAAGGAAGCCATGAAGGCAAATGAACCTCAGGGAACCGGACCAACCTCTAGAGAAACCCACGCTCCGTTTTTGTTTTTGAAACCTTCCCGATTCAGGTCGCTGCGTTTTTGCGGAAATAGGATAATGGCCTTTTTGTGCAGCAATGTCGTTTCCTGTTTTGCAGGCTAACCTTACGTTTAAACTTTTTAATTCACGTTTGTCCTTGGACGCGCAGCCTGAGAAGGAGAGGTGAGCGCTGGTCAACTTGGAGTAAATGGTCTCCTTTCACATGCTCGTGTTGCCTTTCATACCAAGGCTGTATGATTTATAGCGGCGCTGAGCAGTGCCATCTGGTTTTTTTTGGTCCAATGCAAGATTTTATGCTGTTCATTAAAACGCCATAAACCATGCCGCTGCCTTTTCGAACCTTTGTCGTAAAATGTGTTTTAATATTGGCAAAGTGGGAGAAATTATTGCCACAGTCGCCGGGCACCCTCTTCTTACTCATAAAGAGGATACATATATCCAATGATTACAAGTGTCATCGTAATGATTTTTATTAATTAAATCAAGCCAAAAATTCCACCGAAAGCCCTTTACTGTATATCCGGATCCCATAAAGCACGACCATGTCAAAGCAAAGTCTACAGCTACTTAAAAGCTAATTTGAACGCTCACTTTCGCCAGTTGGACGACACTTCCCCACTTTCCGCAACCGCATGCTGTGGTTCCTCTGGACGGCAGCGCGAACGATGTGGAAGGTGGCATTTGTGCAAAGGTCAAACCGCATTACTGAGATTGGAGGGGATGAACGTTATGAAAGATGGGCAGACAACACAAAGACGAACAGAATGGAGAGATGCAGATGGCCACCTGAGCTAACCTCACCTCTGGAGCCAGGTGTAATATTCCTCTGTGGGTGTATGATTTTTGACTGTCTGCTTTGGTCATTATTATTTGTAGATTAACAGTTGCTGACCTTCAGCAGAATATAATACTACGTTTTAATTCCACTGCTACCCCTACAGCACCCGTCACTGCTGCCACACTGAAGAAATGATGCATTGAATGGACTTGATTCAAATGTGTTCATCATGTCCACAGGAATAAAGTGCATTACAGCAACATGGCTGCATGGAAGTGAACTGAAAGACCAGATTGTGTTGATACAGTTTTTATTGTGTTCATGTGAAATAATGAAGGCAGCAGTTGAATCTTGTAAGGTCAAAGCATTACTTTTTAAGTGCAACATCATTAGTATAAAGCAAGCAACCAGAAAGCATACCTTAGTTTTGAAGGGCAGGGAACTATACAGTTGTTAACCTTTTACCATTTTTCAAATAGAGTTTTACACTATTATGGGTTTCCAGAAACATATTTTGATAGGTATTAAGGGTTTTTAGCTTAAGCTAATTAGTCCCTAATTTCAAATAGAAGAAAACAAATAAACAACACAGCATGTACTACAAAATCCAATAAACAGGCATATATATTTGGTTATATTTGAGGAAATGAATGCATCTTTATGTCCGTATATCAGTTAAAACAGGCAAAATGGACTAATAATTGATTAATTGGCTTAAATGTGCTGGTCCACTTTAAATGGTGCTGTGGATACATTCTGGTACCTGTACAGTAGGTACTGGATCATTTAAGGTGGAGCAGAAAATTCAAATAAGAATCAGTTTCGATGCTTCAGAATGGACGTTTTCAGGTGGTCGAAAGTAACCTTTGATATGTTGTATGTGACGGCTTTATCTTTCTCCTTCATTTTAGCCATAATTGTTCATAATCCAGAGCAATTTGAATTCTCCGAATGCTCCAAAGCTGATGCGTTTTGTCCTGTGTACCTTTTTTCCCAAAGTGTCACTCAAGGTCGTTTAGCAGCCAAAATATGAAGGTCGTCCTGTACAAGGACGTGGCTACTTTTAAAACTTTAGCACTGTCACAAACTAAATTTATGTTTGTGAAAGTGAATGTTGTATTTTGCACGCATTTTCAATGGGAGGCAGTTTTGGACTGCAGGCAGGTCAGTCTATCACCCTCACTCTCTAATTACTCAGCCATGCTATTGTAACACATGCAGAGTGTTTCTTGTTGTCATGTTAAAAAACATGGATGTTCCTGAAAAAAATGCCACCCAAAAGGCCCGCGTTACCACTGAAACCAGCGTCTCATGGCTTATTGCTTTACAAAGTATCAGATGCTTTTGCCATGTTGCCCACATGTTGCTCCAAATGTAGCAGCATTAATGGTGCTTTTGCAGATGTGCAAGTTACCTACTAATACCCCACACACACACACACACACACATACACACCATGACAGATGCTGGATTTTAAACTTTACACTGGTAACAATCTGGATGGTCTTTTTCTTCGTTGGCTTGGAAAATATGACGTCCAATAATTCCATAAACAAGTTAAAAGGTTGACTCGTCAGACCACAATACATGTTTTCACTGAGCATCAGTCCATTTCAGATGAGCTCAGGCCCAGAGAAGTTGGCGGTGTTTCTGGACGTTGTTGATGCATGACTTTCACTGTGACTTGTACAGTCTTAAATGGCATTTGTGGATGCAGTGATGGACAATGTTTTTGGACAGTGGTTTGTCAAAGTATTCCCTGAGCCCATGTGGTGATATCCATCATGTAAACATGCCGGTTTTTAATGCAGTGCAGTCTGCGGGGTCAAAGGTCACCTGCATTCAGGTATCAGTTTTCAGTCTTTTCCTTTACACACAGGGATTTCTGTGGATTCCCTGAATCTGTCGATGGTCTTTTACACTGGAGAGGGTGAAATACCAAAAATCCTTACAATCCCTGACTGAGGAACGATCATTTTCAACTGTTACATATTTTGCTGATGCTTTTTTAGCAACGTGGCAAACGTTGACCCATCCTCACTCAAAAAGGACTCGGCCTTTCCTGGATGCTCCTTTCATATCCAGGCATGATTGCATCACCTGTTTAAGATGTTTTTTGAACATTTCACAATGTTTCTAGTCCCAGCTTTTTTCAGAACGTGTTGCAGGCATCAGTTTCAGAATGAGTGTATGTTGATAACAAAACATATTGTGTCTTTGTTCTGTTTTCATTCAAGTACAGATCATAGTAGATTTTTAAGTCGCTGCGTTTTGTTTCATATGTATTTCCTGTACTGTCCCGACTTTTTTCCTGTTGGGTTTATATACCAACTCTAGCTGTTGAAACCGTAGGCTACCACTGCCGAACGCAACTTAACTACGACACTCGGCAAAGCTTGCTGGTCTGCGTGGGGCATTTTAGTGAGGTTGTCAATTCAGTGTGGAGCAGTGTTGGCTTGCATAGCAACAGTTATATTTCAGCTCCTTAACAACCTCATACTTCAGAGGATCCAGTGGCGTTTGGAGCAAAAATGTATGTAGCATTTGGAACATTTTATGTGGTACAGCAGCAATTTTCAAAAACATCATAAACAAAAAAAAGCCTATATGGACATGACGCCGCCTACATAAGGAGGACATGACTTCAGAGGTCCATTGCTTGTCAGAACAACTGTTTACTGTGATTGTTATTGTTAATAAACTCAAGGTCAGTGATTTCACCTCAGTTACGGGGGTTTTAGACCCCCCGTAACCACTGAAAATCACTGTAAATGCGCAGCGCCTTATGACTGTTTGCTTTATTAAGTATCAGATGCTTTTGCCATGTTGCCCACCCTTATTGGAAAGCTTTATTGTGTAAAGTGTGAGAGTTGAAACAGTGCTGCTGTGTGAAAAACGTTGTAACACTCTCCTCCCTTGTGTCTCTGCCTCACAGCAAACGGTCAGTGGAACCCGTGGGGGCCGTGGAGCGGCTGCTCGAAGTCGTGCGACGGCGGCTGGCAGCGGCGGGTGCGGGTGTGCCAGGGCCTGGCCGTCACCGGGCAGCAGTGCGAAGGCAACGGCGAGGAGGTCCGCAAGTGCAGCGAGCAGCGTTGCCCAGGTAACCCAACGGCTAATGGAGCTCCGGGAGTCAATTACGTGGGAATGGGCGAAGACTAGGCTGAATGAAAGTCTGGTGTGAAGATAATTATTTGCCTTTTTGGAGAGCTATATGAGTGTGTGCAGCGCATTATTATTTATTTAATAGTCTAGGGAGGGGAATGTGCGTCGGTACAGCCTATGCAAGCATTTCTAGAATAGAACCTCCACTCTGTTTTTGTTCTTGTTTTGTTTTTAATGGATAATTAATTTGTTTGCAAACTGCGCAGTTTATTTATTTATTTTTTTTACCGTGAACTCGGGCAGTATGGCTGTACGCTTGCCAACTTGCGCACACACGCGGCGAGAAGGCGGCCACATCCCGCTGGTGCTAGAAAGAGTTCTATAGGCTCTCGTAATCCGAGTAAATCTACCCTCAGATATCAGGGATCATTGGAGGATTTCACTGTAATTGAATCGATATTGGGCAAAGTTTTTGCATGCGGCCATCTCCTCATCTGTAGAAGTCCTTTTAAATGAGTCCTCTGTCTTCTGATCTGCAGCTCCATATGAGATTTGTCCTGAGGACTATGCAGTTTCCATGCTGTGGAGGAGAACGCCTTCTGGAGAACTGGCCTTCAATAGGTGCCCACCCAATGCCACAGGTGAGAAAAATCATGGTACTTGACGTTCTTGATATTTTTAATACCAAATGTATTTCACTATTTTTAGGTATTTAACCATTGATAAACATCAATAGTTCTTTAGGTTTCTTCATAAAATTTGAACAGAATGATATTTAAACACTTTTACAACATCAGAATGATTGTAGACTCTTTGTATGGAGAGAACCTGGAGAACAGCTCCAGCCAGCCTGCACTAAAATTGGAAGCGTCAAAGTCTGGAGCTGTTTGTCTTACAATGGTGTCGCTGAGCTTGTGTGCATTGATGGGATCATGAACTCAGAAGTGTACAAAGGCACTTTTATACCAAAAATAAAATTAGATTTTGTTTCCTGACACAATAAAATTAAACACAGGTGTAACTTTGGGCTGAAAATTGGTGGAGTTAACAACAGGACCTTCTTCGGTGGAGGGCATACAGCCATGGAAAAGAAATCACAATAGCTATTGAACAGCTTTTGGGGAAATGTAATGATCAAGTCTCACCAGAATTCCAATCTGATGCAATAGTTTTAATGGTTTAGAAGAAAAAATCTATTCTGAAGTGATTGGAGGGTATATTAACACTAGACAGAGGTCCAGCCTTGGTCAGTTAATTCCACTGGATTTGATAGTGAGTAGACCAGGGGTCGGCAATCTGCAGCTCTTTTACTGCCCTGTTGCGGCTCCACAGCTGAATCTGATTTGTAGGTAAAAATAAAATAATCCTCCTTTACAGTAAAATAAAGCTCTGCTGATCGTTCAACACAGTTTAACAATAAATGGTCTTAAACTCTGGAGTTAATGTAGAACTGCTGATTCACCCTTTAACCCTGAAGATCAGCGCAGACTGCTGGTCACCATAGCAACACAGACAACAGTCTCACCTAGCTAGTAGCTAACGAAACAGCAAAGAGAGAGATTTAAGACAAACATCGATAATTTGGAGATGAATGGACTGATTTGTGTTTATAGTCACTCCAGCAAAACACTAAAAAGTTGTGTTTTACAAGAAACTGTTCTACTTTTGAGGAAAAGTTTCCTGCTGGAGATGCGAAAAAAGCGACTACAGCTCAGCTAAAACTTAAAGCAGAGCAAAGTAAGTCTGTGTTTTTGTTTATATTAGACACAAAATGTCGTGGCTCCCAAAGTGCTTTGATTTTTGTTGAAAGGACAAAATGGCTTATCTTAACGTTTGATCTTAACAGTTTAACTCTTGGCTCTTCTTAACAGCCTGTTGTTGGTGCCAGTGCTTTTAGATATAAGTGACTAAAAGTATCCAGTCTTTTTTGAGCATTTTAAGTATCACCAATGTCTAAACCCTTTTGTGGCCACTATGAAAAAGTTAAATCCCCCAAAATGGGTTCTTTCATAGTTAGTGTTGCAAAGTTGGACCGGCTTTGCAAAGTGATGACCAAAATGAGGTTCAGTTTAATAAGCATGGCAGTGTATTGCCATGAGTTTCATCAGTAAAGTCCAGCCAGTTGGTGACAGAGTTAGAGAGACAGAGACAAATAGAGGAGGAAATCTTTAGATCTCATCAAAAATGATAAAAAACACAAAGTCCTAAAGTTTGACATGCAGTCACAGGCGCTTGTTAGTTTGTTAGTGAGAAGGGGAGATTACCCAGTCTGGCCTAACAGTGGCCAAGTTTCTGTCCAGCTGTCGAGTTACATTCAAGCAAATAACTGACATTATTTCTGCACAAGAGAGTAAACCTCTCTACATCACGTCTGTTAAAACACTTCTTAAAAGAAATAGGGATCAAGTTCAGAGAGAAACCTTTAATGTTGAGAAACATCCAGAGGTCAGTAGTAACTAGTTATAACTAGTGACTAGTCACACTTACTGGTTCTCAGCTGGGCTCTCACTTCATTATGAACTCCAATTCCCAAGATCCCCCAGTTTGTCATGTGACTTTGTCAACCAATCATCAATCAACCAGCAGATCCAAGTCACCTGAGTACTGATTGTCATCACCTGTAGAACTGTGTATATAAGCCAGTCTGTTTCATTGATCCTCAGTGTATACTTAGCCATTTTTCTGTTTATTACTCATCCTGTTTATGATCTTGCTTCGTTTCTCTTTGTCATTTTTTGGGTTCTCCTTGTTGGCTTTGTTAGATCATTTGGTTTCAACCATTGCTTGTTTATTGACTACACTTTTGCCTGCTCCCATGCACTGTGTTCACTGGTTTTGGATCTGGTCTGGTGTTAATCGTGTAAATCCTTTTTTCAGTAAACCTCACAGTTTATTTTATATCTGTGAGCGTCTGATTTGCCTGCCCAGCGTAACACTCAGGTGCCCAAATACAGTAAAATACTGATGGGTTTGAGTATTTTCATATCATAATATCGCTACTTATACTCAGTCACATTTTAGCCTTTGATATTTAGTTACTAACTGTTACTAACTGTTGGATTTCATTGTGTAGTTGGTGAGAACACGGTGTCCTGCTTTGTGATTGGTCACATCTCTGACTCTGGAGCTTTAGCATTTTATTTTAGACCAAAAGAATCTAAAAAAAGAGAACACAGAAGAGTCATATAGTCTTCAGTTCCTGTGCTGATAGAATAGATGCTGGATGTTCTAAGGTGTTCCACTGCAGTTCTATAAGTGATGTAGTTTTTTGACCCAGTACTTTTGTACTTCTGTCCAAGTTATTTTTTGGGAAGGTACTTTTACTTTTACTGCAGTCATTATTTTACTCAATACTTTTACTTAAATATGAGTCTAAGTCTTACATCGTAAAAGCTGGGAGACAGAACACACTGGTAAACATAACTACACAGGAGTTGGATTCGACAGCAGGCATGTATTTTCACCTAAAATCACTGTTACGTTTTCCCTTGTTTACAATTTAAAGGTTTTAAGTTCTTCATTGGTCCGCTGGAAGCTGCGGCCTTGATCGGGTTTTGTAGACAAAACAGCAAAAAAAAGAAAGAAAGTAAACACCTGATTATTTGTTGGACTTTTTCATTTGTATTTACAGTTTGTATTTGTTTGTTCAGCAAATGAGTTTGTCATAACTTACCGCATTTCTTTGCTAAACAGGTAAAAATTAGCCAGCTCATAAATTTTCTCAACTTCCATATTTGCTGTTTCCATCAGCTCTATTTTCATTCAATGTACAGATGGATATGGAGAGGAATATAGTGTTTATGTACTGTATTGCATGTGAAAAGTCACACTAGCTTCGGTAGGAATTTGTGCCAATTTGAAAAGCAATTACTACAGTGGAAAAACATGAAATGCAAAGAACATATGACATTACTGCTCCAGAGTGAGTTGCGGGATATGAGCCGAAGTGAAAACAGAACCTATATTACACTGTTTTCATGTTGCTTGACCTCCTTTTTGTACTTCAAATGTATTTGTGGCAAAACAGTGAAATGCAGTGTTCACCGAGATTGTATTGAAGCTGTAACATGGAAAAGTGCCAAAATGAAAAGAAATCAATCCATTACACTCATTTAACGTTGTTTTAAGTACTGCACAGTGGAAAGCAGTATAGCCATGCTGTTATTACACTTTAAAGTGGATTGTATTCAATTCTGACACCAATGCAGCATTTCAATTTAAATTGCAAATCCTCATGCATTGCTTTTCAGTACAAAAGTCAAGCGATGTGAAAGCAGTGTGATGGAGGTTTTGCTTTTCATTTTGGCTCGTATTCTGCATCTCACTATGGAGCAGAAATCTCATTTGTGCATTGTATTTCACACTTTTCCACTGTAGTGATTCCTTTTCATGAACTACTCTTCATAGATGGAAACCTAGCTAGTGTGACTTTTCAGATGCAATATAATAAATATCATCAACACACTGTAATTTTACAAATTTGGACAATTGGCTGTGTAACTTAAATTTTTCATTATATTTAATTGGACATTTGCCAGCTAAATAAATATTTATGCAAGAATTTTTCATGTTTGTAGACGGAGCACAAATGGGTCAGTTACTGGTAAATCAGTTCCGAGTTCTGGAAAAAATAATAATGCCTCCAGGGAAGCATATAATGGGCGCATTTTACCGTTCTCACATTAAGAAATGTATAATTTATGTTTTGGGGCTTTAAACTCAGAACACAAAAGCGAGAAGGCCTAAAAGATAACCATTGTGTTTGTGCACACAAAGACAGACGCGCCGTTTTGTGTCTCGTTCTTTATATATTGTTTTTATTTCGCCGTTGTCGAGGCGCAGCAGGCTGTGGCGAATGTTTGCGACTTGCATTGTGGCTGGTTTTAAATGCTTTAGTCTGTGTGTACCTAGAGATTCCCCCTCATTTACATAGAGCTGAGGCCTCCAGCTTTTTGTCAACATCTCGCGATCCGCACTCCGACGAGAAGAAAGGAACGGGGGGGCAAGTGGAGGACAGAAGAGCGATTCTTATCTGTGGCCCCAGTTGGTTGCTCTTGGCTTTGGCTGAGTGTGGCGCTCTCTCTCTCTCCCTCTCTCTTTTTCTCTCTCTCTCTCTCTCTCTCTGGACCTGTTGGTTTATCTGAGAGGGTCCTGCTGAGGACGCTCTTATAACAGAGCAGTACGATGCCGCTGTATTGTGCTCCGGTGCTCCCCCCGCAACCTCCGCTGCTTCGTCACTCCACTATCTCTCTCTCAGCGCCATTGTGTCCTTGAGAGAGCAGGTGCGGGGAGGAGAAAAGGAAGGTCTAGGCGGAGAGTGCGGCGCGAGCCGCCGACTGGAGCCAGAGATAACAGCCAGCAGCCCAGGTGTGGCTAGCACAGAGCAGAGAGAAGCAGATTACACCCCGAGTGTGTATGTGTGTGTATGTGTGTGTATGTGTGTGTATGTGTGTGTATGATTGTGGAGTTGTATCTCTTATTTTCACTATAGTCATTTTGCTGTACATTTGATTGCCACTACATAAGTATTTCAATGTAAAACCATACAGTTCAATTTAAAAGTCAGGGACCACCCTCCATTTATTTAATATCCAGTCAAAACAGCTATTAAGTAAGTACACTTTCCTAGAAAATGTGTCTCCTAACAGCCACCTGGAAGAGCTGGTAGACCCCAAAACTGCCCCATCAGATAAACAGCACTTAAAGCTTTCATCTCTGAGAGAGAGGAGAAAATCAAGCTGCTTCAGATCTGAAAACATCCACAGGTGTTTCTGTCCATCCTTCCACTGTGAGAAGACGACTCAGCGCTGTGGGTCTGAAAGGATGTGTAGCTGTCAAGAAGAACCTCACTGAGAAAAGGAGACGGACACATCAAACAAAGAAGCTGAACGATGGACTGACCACCCCAGAGTCCAGACCTCAACACCACTGAATGTGTTTGATTACTTCAGAAAATGATCAACCAGCTTCTAAGACTGAACTTTGGAGGTGTGAAAAAATTGACACACTGAAAGCTGAAATATGATGCCAAACATTTGTACTTAATATCAGTTTTGACTAGAAAATGAAATAAATGAAGGGGGTCTCTGACTTTTGCACAGTGCTGTGTAACAGTAGTACTCGACGAGGCGTTTTCATGATGCACAATATAAATTAGAGCTGGCACAAAACTGCTTTTCCTTTTTTTCTTTCTAAAATTACTAAGTTTTAAAATGAAGTATATACTATTTTCGCCGTGCTCTAACTACTCAAACGCTTCACTGTACCACCTGATTATTCTCATGTGTTATCATGTGATGCTATTATGTGGTTTCTAATGTTATAAATTACTTTGATTTACATTACAAGCAATTCTGTGCTTTCCATGCAGATCTTCATACAGATTTGTACAAGGTTTTCAAAACATTTTTCCTTTATGTTCCATTTCAAACGAGGACAAAAACATGCCAGTAAGCACAACTGTACTGTTTTACTGTGTGTTAACTACTTGAGTGTTAACACACATTGACAAAGTTTACAATCTGCCCTTCCAGATGAATCTCTCGGCTGGAAGTGAGGAGTGATTAAACAAATGTAAGGCGTTTTAAGACGTATGCGCCGTGGGGTACCCGGGTTGGTTAAGCCGTTAATCGTGTGTGGGTGAAGCTCTGTAAAAGTGCATGTGCAGTAAGGTAATACATGCTTTAGCAGGACCTCTGAGGGAGCCCCTCTGATCCAGCACTGCACTGTGGAGTCTCTGGCAGGGGAGCTGTGGTTGGGGGGGTCCCTGCATGGGTGCTGCAGAGCTGGGTGGATGCTGGAGGCGGAGTGCCTCTGCTGGAGTGGAGCGGTGGGTGTGATGCTGGTTGAGTCGAAGGCGGCGAAACAGGGCTCCACCGAGAGCTGATAGAGTCTGTGAGGCAAGGACCAGCACCTGTCTCAAAACAGGCACTGCACGCTATGTACTTCAGTATCAGTGATCAGTAGCCCAGTGGTCCGTGCAGTATTCTTACTATGGTCACCACCTCATTCATTTATATAGACTTTGATAGCTAATAATCTAATTTTCTAACATCGCATGTTGTTTGCCAAGTAATATAAGATTGAATATGGCCTAAATGAGCTATTGTTTATGTTAGCAGTTAGCATTATCTATTGCTTACCTCAACTATCGGTTACTAAGGCAACTATAACTTACTAGGCTACTTTAGAGACCACTTTCTATCCATGTTAAAGCTTTAGACTTGAGGCTAATATTGTGCATACCCCATGTCAGTGCAAATCAAGTTTTTTGTTTTTAAAAACATAAACAGAATATTTTTTTTTGCTGGCACGTACAGCCGTATGTAGTTGAAGCTCCTACTCAAATAGTGTTTTGTTGATGTTGCCTCAATAGATTGCAGTAAGTAGCACTGAATTTAAGGTCCCATTTGATTTAAGGTAGCAGTGAATTTAAGGAAGCAGTGGATTTTTTTGTTCCTTCAGTAGGGAACAAAATTAAATGTGACATTTTTATAAATGAAATAAAATAAAAACTATAACTATACATTAAAATGTGCAGTTTTCTGTAGAGGGTACATGTGATTTGACCAGGGGTGCCCAAACATTTGCGTACAACTGTGCTTGTGGACGACCGATCGACTAGACACTGATCGTCTCTAATTGAACACTAAGCACTGTGTGCTAGCTCGTGTCACTGAATCGCACCCAAAGAACCTCCAAACCTAACAACCACCAGTTTTACAGTCAAAGATGTCCACCTGAAACTTTTTTAGTAGTGCCAATGTGGTGACCACGGTGGCCAAGCTTTTAACGGGGGGGACTAATTGGGCAAGACACAGTACAGCTAAAAGAATTAAAAGCTTTAGTGTTAAAGAAGCTGTACTTACACAGTACATAATGACATAAAGTAAACCAGATAAGGTCTGGCCATTTAGAGGCTTCCTCCCCTTCCGCCAAACAACCAAGCAACCAAACAATGTGCAATGATTTATACTTACTTTACAGTGGTTCTAGTACGTCATCTGACCGTGAGCATCACTAAAGACCCCTGAAATCATGTAGTAATCCTGTAGTCGAGGTCCTGTCCATATTAGGAACTTCGGCCCTAAGCTGGTTTTCTCTATAACACAAATGTAAGGCTTTTCCGTAGACTGGCGCTGCCGCCTTGTGCCCCAAAGCTGATATATTTTGACTCGTGTACATTTTTTCCTCTAATTATCCCTGGATCCTTTGAATTTTGATGTCGTTAAGCAGCCAAAGTATGAAAATGATACATGATACATGCTGAAATAAACCCACATGAAAGTCTCCTATTAAACTTCAGCACTGCAAGCGACTCAAACTGCAGGCTAAAACTGCCAAAGACCCTAAACAACCATGTCTGACGAAGCTTGCTGGTTTGTTTGGGGGTATTGTGGTGAGGTCAATCTTATAATCCTTGCTGAAAAAACACAGGAACCATTACTGTTGGTTCCCGGGGGCTTTGTAATTTTGGCCTTTTGAATGGGTTGATACCACAATGTAAAGCAGGGGTGACCAATCCTGGTCCTGGAGATCTACCACCCTGCAGAGTTTAGCTCCAACTCTAATCCAACACACCTGATCCAGATCCAGGTAATGAAGGCCTTCAGGGGCATCTGAACATTTCAGCCAGTTGTGTTGGATCTGAACTCTCCAGGGTCGTAGATCTCCAGGACCAGGATTGAGCACCTGATGGTTTGACAGGTGACGAATGTCTAATTCTAAATGCATTTGATGTTTTTCTAATGTCAGGGGGGCCCAATCCTGGTCTTCGAGATCCACCACCCTGTAGAGTTCAGATCCAACACATCTGGCTCTAATATTCAGATGCCCCTGAAGGCCTTCGCTACCTGGCTCAGGTGTGTTCGATTAGGGCTGGAACTAAACTGTGCAGGGTGGTAGATCTCCAGGACCAGGACTGGCCCCCCCTGCCTAACGGGATCTGAAGATGTTCTACAGGAAGCCAATTAATTAGTTAATAAGATAGCAGAAGCATTAGGTTTTAGTTATAATGGTTTCTAACAGTGCTTTTTCAGCGGGGATGTCAGTTCAGCCATGTTATCTTGCACGTAGCAACAGTTGCACTATGGCTGGAAAAATGTCCGTGCAACAGAATGCATCAGGATGCAGCAGCAGCGATTCTTCCAAAGACGCCATTCATGTCTGTCGTAGAGGAAACCAGCTTAGACCCGGAGTTCCTAATATGGTCACGACGCCGACTACAGAACTAACAACACGACGGGGCTCGCCGTCATGTTGCGGAGGAGATACTGCAGCATTGCTCAGGTCGCATGGGAGGGCGTTACGACCCTGTGCTCTTAAACAGACTTTGTTTGGTGCGTGCATGCGCGTGGGCGTGTGTACTGCAGTGGCGCTAGCACATGTGCCGCGCATGTGATTCCATGGCAGCAGCAACATCTGAATACGAGCCTTCGCTTTCCCCTCCCTCCCTCCCTCCCTCGCTCGCTCTTCCTCGTATAGAAATGTGTGGGCTGCCAGGTGAAACGAGAAAAAGGAAAAAAGGGATTATATGATCAAGAACTAAATCTCTCTCTCTCTCCCTCTTTTCCTCTCTGTCTCTTCCATTTCCTCTCTGCACCACTCTCTTCTATATTCTCTTTCATTGCCTCTCTCCCTCCCCTCTTCTACTTCTGCTATGTCTCTCTTTTTCCTTTCTCTCTCTCTCTCTCTCTCATCCTTCGCAGGCACCACTAGTCGACGCTGCTCGCTGGATCACCGCGGGGTAGCCTACTGGGAGCAGCCCAGCTATGCCCGATGCATCGCAAATGAATACAGATACTTACAGCAATCAGTAGGTGCAACGTCAGCTTCCTCTCTCTCTCTTTTTCTGGCATACCATAAACACCCCCCACCATCACAACAACCCCCCTCCAACTGCTCTACACCACCGCCCCAAAGCCACAGAGATGAAAGATGGAAACGCTAACAGTGGGGAAGCGAATTAGAACATTAATACTTCAGTTTTCTTAGCCGGCTAATGGCCGGTCCCCTCCTCTCTCCTGCACCTGGAGCTGGTTTCTGCACAGCACTCCTCTCTGAATGTATTCTGCATAATTGTATGTATGTGTATGTATGTGTATGTGTTCATTCCTTTAACCATGATCTGAAGTTGCATAGCATTTTATAAAATGCCAGCTATTACCTGACCTATTAACTCCCAGGCAATTTAGCTCAAAATCCTGGAACCACTTTCCTTGTTGTTGCAGGGGAACCCAGGCAAAAATTCACCAGTCATATTCTGAAAGCTAAGAGGCATTGATTAGGAAACGTTTCTGCAAGGTACTCCTTTAATCGTGGCCTGCGGTTCCACAGCAGTACGTGAAAAGCTAGCTATTACCTGCTAGCGCATGTCAGTTTGGCTCAAAGTTCCTGAACATCACCATTTGTTACTCAGGAACCCATAACATTTCATAAAACGCTGGATATTAGTAAGTAACAAAAATAAGATGTTCCAGAGCTTTGAGCTAAACTCACATGCATTTGCTGTTCAGAAAAAATGCACATAAGCTATTACCTGCTAACTCCTGGTCAGTCTAGCTCGAAATCCTGGAACCACTTTCCTTGTTGTTACTGGGGAACCCAGGCAAAAATTCACCAATCATATTCTGAAAGAGGCAGCGATTAGGAAACGTTTCAGCAAGGTACTCCTTTAATCGCGGCCTGCGGTTCCACAGCAGCACATGAAATGCTATTACCTGCTCGTGCATGTCAGTTTAGCTCAAAGTTCTGGAAAATCTTACTGTATGTCACCGAGGAGCCCATAACATTTCATAAAATTCTGGGTGTTAGCCTACCTGCTAGCTGCTGATACATGCAATCTGTTGGTTTATCATAAAGTCCTGGGACTCAACGGCTTGCAGACCCATTAAACAACTCCCTGATCGCACGTTAAACAAGAAGCACCAGTTGTGAACTACGAGGACGTTTGTCTTTGTCATTCTAAGCTATGATCCTTTAATCATGATCTGAATTTCCATAGCAGTTCACAAAATGCCAGCAATTACCTGCTAACTCCTTATCAATTTGGCTCAAAATCCTGGAACCACTTGCCTTGCTGTTGCTGGGGAACCCAGGCAAACAATTCACTGACCACACTTTGAGGAGGCAACCACTAGGAAACGTTTGTGCACTGCGCTCCTTTAATCATGGCCTGCGGTTCCACAGCTGTACATGAAATGCAAGCTATTGCCTGCTATTGCATGTCAGTTTAGCTCAAAGTTCTGGAAAATCTTACCTTTATGTTACTGAGGAACCCATAACTTGTAGAGCCATTGAACAACTCTGATCCCACGCTAAACACGAAGCACCAATTGCAAACTACTAGGAAGGCTGTCTTTGTCTCTATCAATCCTTTATTGATCATCTGCAGTTCATACAATGCTATCTATTAGCCTACCTGTTTGCTGCTTTCCATGAACCCTCTATATCTAAAGGCTTGTCTAAGAAGGAAACTATTGCCAACCACCAGGACCAAGTTGTTGTTCTAAGCTATGATCTTTTAATCTTGATCTGAAGTTCCTTAGCAGTTCATAAAATGCCAGCTATTACCTGCTAACTCCCTGTCAATTTGGCTCAAAATCCTAGAAACACTTTCCTTGTTCTTGCTGGGAAAACCCAGCCAAAAATTCACTGATCACACTTTAAACCTTAGAGGCAACAATTAGGAAACGGTTGTGTCCTGTAATCCTTTAATCATGGCCTGCGGTTCCACAGCAGTGCATAAAAAGCTAGTTAAATGCTAGCTGCTGTTCATGAATTGTGACTGCCAGTCAGTTTATACAGTTCATACAACCCTAGTATTAGCCTACCTGCTAATACCCATGACCTGTTAGTCCCGGACCGCAGTGGCTTGTTTTTGCTAGGAAGACCCAGTAAACAACTCACTGATCACTAGTTAAACAAGAAGCAACAATCGCTAAATACTTGGAAGGTTGTCTTTGTCTCCATTAATCCGGTCCATAATATTGTTGGTATTAATCTACCTGTTCACTGCTTTTCATGAACTTTCTATCTCTAATGGTTTGTTGTTTCTAGGTAGAACCATGCAAACAGTTGTCTGATGGCAAAATAAGACCTAGGATGAAGGTATTGCTAACCACCAGGACCAAGTTGTCGTTCTAAGCTATGATCCTTTAATCATGATCTGAAGTTCCACAGCAGTTGTTAAAATGCCAGCTGTTACCTGTGAACTCCCAGTCAATTTAGCTCAAAATCCTGGAACCACTGGCCTTGTTGTTGCTGGGGAACCTGGACAAAAATTCACTGACCACACTTTAAACCTAAGAGGCTGTTTCACAGGCCTAGAACCTGCGAAACGTGTCCTGTAATCCTTTAATCATGGCCTGCAGGCCCACAGCAGTGCATAAAGTGGCAGCTATCGCCTGCTAGCTGCTGTTCATGAAATGTGGCTTCCTGTCAGTTTAGCTCAAAGTTCTGCAACCTCTTACTTTTTGATGCTGAGGAACCCATCACAGTTTATACAGTGCTCAGTATTAGCCTACCTGCTAGCTGCTAATACCTGTGACCTATTAGGCTGCGTTCACACTGCAGGTAAAAGTGGCCCAAAGCTGATTTTCTCACCAAATCCGATTTTTTTGTTTGGCTGTTCACATTATCTTTTAAATGTGATCTGTATGCGACATCAGTCTGAACAGATCAGCTCCTAAACTGACCTGCATGCGCAAAAGAACAGTGCTTCATGTGGCTCGTCCAAGGAAATCGATCATCATGGCCAGCGAAGGCCAGTCGCTCCCGGAGCTTTCAGCTCGTCTTCGCCAGCATCACAGGAGCGAAGTTCCAGTGGTCAACAGCTGGACTCATCACCCAGAATGTGTTTGAGTTCGCTGTAAAAAGGGCGCGTTATTCGGCCACGGCCGCTTCTTTGGTTCGTGTCCTCGGATTCTTTAAACTGTTCTCTGGCGCTGCAGCCTCGGTCTCCTCCGGCCGCTTCGTTTGAAACCTCTTTGAACACGGAGCGGTTTGATGAGTCTCTTCTAATGTTTTGGTTCAGAAACATCAGCCTAAATGTTTCTGAGTCTCAGCAGCGCGAAATTATGACGAATGTCGAGTTGAACTGACGTAAAAGTCGCATGAATTCCGATCTGGCTGTTCAGAGTCGCATTGCCGCAGATCGGAATCTGTGCCACACACGGAGAAAAAGATCGGATTTGGGCCACTTTCACCTGCTGTGTAAACGTAGCCTTAGTTTATCGTAAAGTCCCGAGGTGCAGTGGCTTGTTGTTGCTCGTTAGACCCATGAAAACAATTCACTAATCGCACATTAAAACCTTAAAAGCAGCCTTTGTTAAACAGCCTCTCATGAACTGCTTGCCAGTTTAGCTCCTGAAACACTGCCGTTGCTGGATAAACCCATGCAAAAGGCTCTACTGATTGCACAGTTGCAAACCACTAGGATGTTCCAGCAATTGCCAACCCCTCATGGTGTTCTCCTGATGTTCTCAGCTCCTTGTCACCTCAGCCTGACCTAATGCGAGTGTGATCAAAGGTCATGCGATTACAACAGGGCTTTAAGCTTTTCGAACCCTGATACGCAGTGACCCGAGAGTACCCTGTGGTTTTACTTTGTACCAGAGCCGCCCAGAAGAGGATAGTATCTCGTTCATGCTCTTAGAGATTTTCCCTGCCATTCTAATTAGTGGCCTGGACCCAGATTTCTGTAAAGCTGCTTTGTAGGGCAGCACAATGTAGACAAGGTACTATATTGCAGTTATATTGCCACATATTGCAATATGCCTCGCAATACGGTAAGACACACTGCTGAACCGCTGATGTGACCTGATTAAAAGTTGGCTGTTCGTTATTTTCACCCAAAAAATTACTTCGTTTGTTGGATCGCTTGTCTCGAATCATCCAAACACAGGGAGAAAATCGTCTGTGAGGACGTCAACAACACAACAGCGACAAAATATGATCTGTGAGGGCCAATTTACGTACCGCACACTTCTAAAATATCAATATTACACGTTTCATGAACTGTCTGTCTCTGATGGTTTGTTGTTTCTAGGTAGAACCATGCAAAAAATTCACTGATGGCAAAATAAAACTAAGGAAGAAACCACTGCTAACGACCAAATAGTCGTTCTAAGCTCCTTTAATTATGAGCTGAAGTTCCAGAGATTAAAAATTGACCTGCGTTATTTTCACCAAAATTACTTACGTTAGTTCGATCGCTTGCCTCGAATCATCCAAACATCCAGATAAAATCGTCTGTGAGAACTTTAACAGCACAATAATGACAAAATATGATCAGTGAGGTCTAATTTATGTTTTGCACACTTCTAAAATATTAATATTGTAAGATTTTATACAATTACAAATAAATTGAACTGGAGTGAACCAAACCGGTCCAGATTGAATTGATGTGATATAGTGAATCGAATTGGGTGCAGCATGGTGGTGCTGTTGGTTCACAGCAAGAAGTGCCTGGGTTCGATTCCCTGGCCGGGTAACCAGGTAACCACAGGCCGAAGACATGCAGCATGAATTGGAGGTGCTAAATTGACGCATTGAAGCTAAGTTGTTGAATTAAATTGGATTGAACCAAACCAGATCCAAAGGATTAAACGGCTAGCACTGAGTTGTAATTCAGTGTGTATGTGATGGACTGGTGATCCGTCCAGTGTGTTTCCTGCTTGATATAGACTCCAGTGACCCAGGAGGATAAGTGGCTTAGATAATGTGTGTGTGAATCAAATTTAATTGAATTTGAATGAACTGAACCACTTTGAATTGCAATTAATTGAACTGATTCAACCCGAACTGAACTGATCATGGGTAAAATGCTCCTGTAAGCAGCCGGTAGTGCTGTAGCAGTGCTCACCAGCCCTGCTCCTCCAGATCCACCTTCCTGCTCACCTTCCTTCCTCCAACCCCAATCTGCCACACCTGCTCCAGCTAATAACCCTCCTCAGAAGCCCCTGGTTGGCTGGATCAGTTGCATTAGTGTTTGGTGAGGAGGGGCTGCAGGTTGTTGCTAAACTCTGCAGGAAAGTAGGTCTCCAGGAGGAGACAGCTGTGCTATAGGACCTATAAAGACCACCCAGACCCCAAGTTCCCTCTCTCTTCACCCTGCTGCAGGTCCAGGGACACCTTGCTAAGGGTCAGAGGAATCTGGCAGGAGACGGAATGTCCCAGGTAACCAAAGTGCTGCTGGACCTCACCCAGAGACGCAACTTCTACGCCGGCGACCTGCTGTCCTCTGTGGAGATCTTACGGAACGTCACGGACACCTTTAAAAGGGCCAGCTATGAGCCGTCCTCCGACGACGTGCAGGTGAGCTGCTGTTGAGTTGCTCTGTTTCCGATGGTAATGTCATGTATTTGAATGTTAACCCTCTTCTTTTCACTCTGGCTGGTTTTGATGTAACCTGATCTTGCAGAACTGTGTAAAACCTGTAACTATTAGCAATTTTTAGTCACCACAAAGAGTCATGTTGACATGTTTCTCTGTACTTAGTGCAAACAAAAGAAACCTCTTGACTCAAAACAGACTTGCTCATAATAGAAGCCAATGGGCAGATGTTGACGCAAGCACTCCTTTAGCTTCTGTTATGAGTATGTTGCTGTGTATTGATTGTATGCTGCAGATGCAGCCGAGATTAGGTTGTAAACACCCAGGAGCATTCCATTAAAGGATTAAACGGCTAGCACTGAAGTGTAATTCCGCTGATTTTTCACAATTTCTCCAAAATTAAATGGTTAAAATTGTTTTGCTGTGAAATTCTCTGTTGTAGAGGCGCTAGAAGAGATTGTTCTCAGTGGAACCAGACGTCTGAGGAGTTTATTATCTCCAAAAGCTGCCCAGATAGCCCGAGATGATTGTTTTGAGATGAGACTTTGGCCATAAATGGATTTTTTAAAAATACATCCATGGCTGAGAGGGTGCTGCGAGGCAAAATGGTGCCCTGAGAAAAATAAAAAATCCGTTTACCACTAAAAAGCTGTAGGTTCTCTGGTGGTTTTGGGTAGAAAATAAATATAAATAGTGTTTTTATTTTGTGACTCCTGGTTCCTGTCGCCACCGCCGTAAAGAAGAGTCTCCACACTGGGCCGTCTCACACCAAACCACTCTGAGCAGCATCTCAACCACTGAATTAGATATCAAATTTTGAAAAATTGGTGGGATTCCCCTTTAAAGGTGCAGTGAGAAAATAAATAACTTGCTTATAACGACTTGCGCCAGAGCTGATAGTGATCAGCCCCCCCTTTTCTCTCCTTCATGGAGAGCTTATGGGATTTCAGCAGCATGCCCCCGCTGATAAGAGAGCCCCTCTCGCTTTCTCTGTGTGTCCGCGCGACGAGATCATCTCAATCCGCCAAACGCGCTCCTCTGTCGCAGGGCTCCCAAGGCCTCTGCCACGATAAATAGATTTTCATGGATTGTGCTGGGGAGATCGCGTGCGTTTAGCATGCGAGCGTGTGCAGGACGTGTGCGTTGGGAGCTGGGATGTGACTCATTTGCCAGCCCCCCTCCACTCCGCTCCCTTCCCGTGTGTGCAAACGCTCGCATTAGCGCAGTGTTTAAGTGGACGCATTACCACCAGAGGGAGCATTAGCATTCGAGTAGAAAAACAAAAGGCGCCGGTGCCAAGACACAGTCTCTCCCTCCACCCTCCGACGGAGCGCAGGCAGAAACAGACAAAGGAAAAGGAGTCCCTCTTTCCAAACATTCCACGTCAGCTGCGCCGCCGGGCTCGCGGAGTCAGAGTCAGCAGCGCTAAGCACGTTTTAAAGCACACGCCGCATCCTGGTGCTTCTGGATTCAGAGCGCATGTCTGTATTTTGGGCGAGATCAACCAGTTCCTGAATTGGAAGCAGCGGGGGGCTCTCCCAGGTGCATTTTGCCTCTGACGCCGCCTGACAGATTCTATCATCTCCCTGCAAATCACTGGTGTGGCTGCGCTCCATAATTGCCCAAGATGGTATTTGTTTAGACTGCAGGAGGGGTCCTTCATTACGGAGTGCTCTGTGTGTGTGTGTGTGTGTGTGTGTGTGTGTGCGTGTGTGTGTGTGTGTGTGTGTGTGTGTGTGTCCATAGAGCACCTGCAGGAGGGAACATTGAGCTAATGTCAGTGAGAACAGGCCGAGACGGGTTGCGCCCAATGTGCCCTAAGATCAGTCCGCCTGTGTCAGGGTGGCCCGATATGACAACATTAAATGCAATGTTTGCAAAAGTAAACTATCTTAGAAGGAGAAATGAAGCGACTGTTAAAAATTGATTAACAAAATAAGATGATGTCATAATAAGATGATGTCATAACGGCCTGACACCCACTCAGCAGCTAAAACAATTATTAAAAATAAATTAACAAAGTAAGATGATGTCATAATGGGCTGACATCAGCTGCTAAAACAAATTGCTACAAATATGTTGAAAAAATAAGACGATGTCATATTGGGCGACCACACAGTCAGCCGCTAGAAGGAGATATCAAACAATTATTAAAAATAACTTAACAAAAATAGATGATGTCATAATGGGCTGACACCCAATGAGCAGCTAAAACGATTATTGAAGATAAATTAACAAGATTAGATGATGTCATAATGGGCTGCCACCCAATCAGGAGCTAAAACGATTATTAAAAATAAATTAACAAGATTAGATGATGTCATAATGGGCTGCCACCCAATCAGCAACATATTTAGATGATGTCAAAGCTATTATTAACATTAAATTAACAAAATCAGATGATGTCATAACAGGTTGACACCCAGTCAGCTGCTGAAAGGAGGAGCAATCAAATAATTATAAAAAAAAAATAAATAAAATTAGATGATGTCATAATGGCCCGTCACCCAATAGCCCATGCAGTAATACGCTGATGGTGGTTGTTGTTGTTGTTGTTTACAGTCTCTCTCTGATTGTATTTGTGATCGTTTTTATGATTCGGTGTTGTAGATGTACTGATGACCCTTAGAAAAGCATACTGTGAGGTATTTAATCCCAAGAATGATGGTGAATCATCGAGCTGCCCACCCCCACCTATACGTCCCCTTTACTCTGTAAGAGGAAGACTGTCTGCATGTTATTAATGACAACACAGATCGTATCTGATCTCTTCCTTAATGTTTAAATAGCGCCGACCAGGGACGGACGTTTATATCTAACTGCACTAAAAATTTCATCGATTTTTCCCTCAGCTTCTTCCACCGGTCCAGAGCTAATGACCGAAGACTTACCGTCTTTTTTTCTCCTCTCCACTTCACAGAACTTCTTCCAGATCATCAGTAATCTGCTGGAGGAGGAGAACCGAGAGAAATGGGAGGACGCCCAGCAGGTGAGCGCAGTGCTAAACCCCTTCAGCTTTAAAGGAAGAGTCCAGCGTTTTCACCCTGCATCTGCAGCGCACAGTCGAAAGTTTTTCTGACGTGTTGACTCAAATACACTTATGGTGGAAGCCAGTGAGCAGATGCTGAATGACCTGCCCACTGAACTCTATTATAAATTCGTTTTTAGTCTGTTCTTCGGTATTTTTCTGTGACCGAATGCTCAGACAGAAGGACGAGCAACCCAGACACAGATTTGACCCCTGAATAACTGCTGTCGATCGCATCATTAACAACACAGACATGCCCTGAGCTCATCCACACACTTTTTACAGGGGTAACGGTGGCACTCTGGCTGACTAACTTTCATTTTTAATATTAATTTGATGACCTGTTTATGTTTCAGCGCTGTGTGTAGCGACAGTTGCTTGAAAACAGGCATAACAGTCGATTACCAGCCTCGATCGAGCAGTTTAGGGTTTCCTAACTTGAGGAAAGACAGGATTCCATTCCTACAATAATATAAATGATTTAAATACACTTATAGTGGAGGCCAGGGGGCAGATGCTGAATGACCTGCCCACTGACTTCCATTATACGTTTGTTTTTAGTCTGTTCTTTGGTGTTTTTCTGCGACCAAATGCTCTGATAGATGGATAAGGAGCGCCAACACAGATTTGACCCCTGAATAACTGCTGTCGATTGCATCGATAGGCTGCGTTAACAACACAGGCATGCCCTGAGCTCATCCACACACTTCTTTACCTGGGTAACTGTAGCTGTCTGGCTAACTAACTTCCATTTTTAACATTATTTTGATTACATGTTTATGTTTCAGCTGTGTGTGTATTGACGATTGCTTGAAAACACACGTTACAGTCGATTATCAACCCCAGTTGAGCAGTTTTAGACTTTCTAACTTGAGAAAATATTCTGTAGAATGAGGTATAATTCCTAAAATAAGATGAGATCTGCTTCTGTAGTACGAGTTCGGGCTCATCTCTGTCTGCTGCATGTCTAGCTCACAGTCGATTACCCCCGAGAATTTCGCTGGAGTATTCCTTTAACACAGATGCGCCTTGACCCTTGAAGGAACCGCTGCAGCGACCGCATCGATCGCCTGCCTTAACAACACATGCGATTTCCATCACGCGTGCCGTGAGCTTATCCACACGCTTTACAATTCCGTACACCACGCCCGAATCGCTTCATTATAGTCGGATCACAAAAGGGCATGCAGTCTGGTGTTCCTCTGCGCACACAAATGACTTGCAAGCGAAAAAGCAGCTCCAGGCAAATCGATTGCCATCACCAGCATAGCAAGTGTAGGTAATGGCTGGGGTCAAAGAGGGAGCCTGTCTGGAGCGGCAGTGCTACGTCACATTCCACTCTCAGGACGCTGACCGCTCAGCCGTGCTGATTTGCTGGGATTAAGAGGGCGGCTGCAGTGTCCACCAGATCCACATGGTGGCAGCAGCAGTGGCAGCACATGTCCAGTCGAGACGCTCTCTGCCTTTGATGACGCCATGTCTCTCTCCCTCTCCCTCTCTCTCTCTCTCTCTCTCTCTCTGTCTTTCCCAATGACACACAATCTTAAAGCAGCCGCAGGGATTTGAATACTGCCAAGCTCTGTGCACATCAGAGCAGGCGAAACAAAATCTCTGAGTGTGTTATCACGGTATTTAAGTGAAATGTTTTTTTTTTCCCCCCTCTTTATGTCTGAACTGCTAATGCCTCTTAGACATTACTTACTGCGGACAGCAGTCATGTTAGATGCCAGTCAGACATAAGCAGCTTTACGCAAAAACGATCTCGCCAGTACATCGGAAAGCCACGGCATTACAGTGAGCGGCTCTGCGGCCTTCAGCCGGGAAGGTTTCGTTCAAATTAACCTGCGCTTAATGACAAAAGAAGGTGGGGCTTTTATGCAGAAGACGGAGTCACCGCCTGGTTGGTGTTACCGGGTCAGAGCGCGTGTCGGACGGTCAGCTCACTGCAGACTTGACGTTCGAACTCTGTCCTCAAAAACTCACTTTCCAATCAATTCCTGGCTCTGACCCCGTCACCGGTCGAACCTCCGGGCCCACGCTAATCGCTAAAGGACATCTCGGGCCGTCGTCACCTCTGCCAGCAAATTGCTGCCTTTAAAAGATCAACCTGGCAATATGTGGAAGCTGTGAAGTCCTATATATTTTCCTCCATGCAATTTACTTCGCGTCCTTTTTTCAAATTGGTAGGGGACTCGCTCGAGGGTTAGCATCCCTTTTCTCTTCCGAGTAATTGAGTCAGTGTCAGCTTCGTTGGCGCAGACAGCCTCAGATTCTTCACTCACGCGCGAGGCAGGCTTTTCTCCAGCGGAGGGGTTTTGTTGTCTCAAGAAAATATCGCTCGTCTGCTTCTCTAATTCAAAGCGTAGCAATAAACAAAGCAAGTTCATTAGTTCACTGGTTTGTTCCAGTCATTAAGTGTTGGCTCCTCGTTGCGTATTTGTATCCGACAGTGGATAAGAATAGAACAGCTGCTACGTCGCTCAGTAGTGTTTGCCAGGGACCGAGTTGTAGCGTGGATAAAAGAACAATAAAGATATGGAACGTGTTGCAAAGCTTCTTTTAATAATATAAAAGCACTTCCTCAAAGTTCCTCAAAGAATCTGCAGACACACCTCCAAAGTTCAGTCTTAGAAGCTGGTTGATGATTTTCTGAAGTAATCAAACACATTCAGTGGTGTTGAGGTCTGGACTCTGGTTCTGGTTCTTCAGCTTCTTTGTTTGATGTGTCCGTCTCCTTTTCTCAGTAGCCATATTTACGCTTGATAATCCGTTAATAATCCGACTAATAGCTCAATCAGAATAGAATACGTCAGTGTAAACAACTCAGTCAGAATAGTCTAGTCTGATTAAGGCCATTCAGAATACAGTTTCTATCCGACTGATCGAGGTGGGTAATCCTGTAAATAATCAGTTAAATAGAAGAATAATATCCGTGTAAATGCCTGTATCTGATTACATTCCCTATCGGAAAGTTTAAGTCCGTTCTGATCATGTTTGTCGCGTCATAGTGAAAGTTTATACCGTTCAACATGGCGGAGCAGAAACTGGTCTGCAGAGGAGACGAAGTTTATGCTCTGATCTTTAAAAGACGGCAGTGGGACGGACGTCCAGCTTATGTGTCTCAGAACACGACGTCTTCCTCTCGGCCTTCTTTAATAAGGACATGTGAAGGACGTTTTCCTGAGTCTGACATCATTTTAAAGCAGTTAAAAACACAAGCACTGCTCACTGCTGCTCATCTCACTCTGACTGGACTCACGTGATGCTGGTTGTCATGGTAACGTCTACACTAAGTGGTGCTCTACGCATGTAATTTTGGATCTGATTACTTGTAGTGAGCATAGATGATTATGTATGGCTGTGTAGCTTTAAGAGTTTGAACAGTATTTGAAAAGTGATTATCAAATAAATATAAATAACTGTAAATAGTAATATTTTGCTTATAGTTGCTCCCAAACAATGTAAGCAAAACTACTGGACAAAACATCTAGAATTACTTGGTTTCCTGAAGGTATTTCTGTCCACAGTGTTTATTGAATAAAATATCAATTATTAATATGATGAGTGATTCCAAACTCTTGAATAGTGCAGTTTTTGCTTTGTTCAGCTGCTCAGTTAGACTCAGAGCTCTAGTCGTACTCTCTCCACCTCTTTAATGGCTGTCGGTCTCAGCCATTTCCCTCACTGCACCCTCCTGTCTGCACACATCGCTAGCCCTGTTGCCATGGAGAGGGAGATGAGGCGATACTGCTCGAGAGGGTCCATGGACCGGCGCCGGCCTGGCTGCAGGGGGACGGGCCAGCACACCGCTCTCTGCCCCGGTGTGTTAGAGGGCTCTGGCCGGAGCCGGGGACTCGCCAGAGGAATTATTAGATATTTGACCGTGCTGTGGTCCAGATCCTCGCTGTGGGTGTTAATTACCGAATGTCACTCAGTGTCTTTTTTTCCTAACCAGTGCCGTGGAGTTCACTGAGCTTGTATTTGGTGAGAGGGTTCATGTATGATGAGTGAATACGGTGTTTTGTTGTTTTTATCGCCATAAACATTTATAGCATTTAGCAGACGCTCTTATCCAGAGAAAGTATCCTCTCTAGCACAAACAGGTCAGAGGCCAGACTGCCCCTGAGCTCAGACACTGTCAGGAAACAAACGCCAGAGCTGATACCTAGAAAGAAAGAGAATTACACATAGCAATACAATTAAAAGGGAACTCCACCAATTTTTGACAAAACCTATACAATCAAACGGCTAAGATGTAAACAGACTCGTTCAGAGCGGTTTGGTGTGAAACGCTCCGTTCTAGATAAACTTACTGAGTCAGAACTGTTCACAGTGGTGGTGATAGGAACCAGACGTCCACCTCTAAAAGCTCCCTCACAGAAAGTTCCTACATGAAATGGTTATGAATTCACTGCCTGATGACTGAGACACTGTTTTATGATAGTTTTGTGGCTTAAAATATATTTGAATCAATTTTTTTTAAAGAAATCTGAACCATTTCACACCAGACCACTGATTCACTCTGTTTACATCTCAGTGACTGAATTATTCAGAAATTTTGGTGGAGTTCCTCTTTAAGTGCATTACAAAGAGATGAGTCCTCAGCATTTGAAGACCGTTAGGGACTTCGCTGTTCAGACAGCCAGTATTAGTTTGTTTCGCCACCAGGACAAAGTAGACAATGCTAATCAGCTAGCTAATTTGCTCAGATTTTCTGCATAATCAAACGGTGTTCCACCAGTGTTCCCAGTCTATCCTACATACTATAAATTAATCCACCAGCGTTCCCAATCTATCCTACATACCACAAACCAATCCACCAGCGTTCCCAGTCTATCCTACATACCACAAACCAACTCACCAGTGTTTCCAGTCTATCCTACATATCACAAACCAACTCACCAGCGTTCCCAGTCTATCCTACATACCACAAACCAACTCACCAGCGTTCCCAGTCTATC